TTTAAAGCCCCAAATCAATTATTACAGTCTCAAAGGAGCTTACAAGCCCACAAGTTTATAACAAACAAAACAGGACACGTCCAGTTACACAATGAATTATCACGCAGCAATATTAGTAAGCTACATAGAAGAATGTCCATAAAACACTGTACCGTCAGTAGCCCATTGTCTGACATCATCTACCCACTGATGCACGACATTCTCAGGACACCCCAGCTCACTGCTCAAACTCTCCAGTCTCTGAGACTCAGCCTCAGCCTTTTTGAGAGTCTGGTGTGTAAAATAAAAAAAGAAAAAGAAAAAAAAAGATTTCTGCCTTTGTGATCTTAAAAAGGAGAAAAACATGAAAAGCTATTTATACCCAACTCAGACACAACATAATACCTTGATGTATCTGCTGGATAGTGTGAAATGAAGGCCTTCCAGCTTCCGTCGGTTCCATCCAATTGCATGGATAGTTAGCATGTCATTTCTGGCTTTAAAGCAAAATGATGTGATGGAGGAAAGTCCCATTAATGCCCATGAGATTTTACTTCATCCACACATTGAACATTGAGTTTTAATTAAAGAGAGATGTAATGCATTTCTATTAATGTGTTACTTACTATCATATTTCCAGCTTTATATTTGCATTTTGCAATACATGTTACATAATATTTGCAATCTCAGAGTACAAAGTATTAGACATAAAAAAATAAAAACAATAAAAAGAAGAAAGAATAAAAGACAGGTTTCCTAAAATAATATAAATAAGCAACAATTACCAGATTTTGTCATGTACTTGGTTGTGAGGGCACAACGAGACAGGTAGCTGTTTACCATTTCGACCTCCTCCCCAGCAGTTGTGCCAGCACCTTCCTGATTTTTTGCCACTCCAGATTATCTAACAATTTATTCTGGCACTTATATTATAATCATTTACAGTGTATTATATAAGTCATAAAATTACAATTTCAAAAGGTATTATAAAGAATATGCAGTACCTCACACTTGGTTGAATGAGCCTTGGCATGCATGACAGAAAGGAATGGTCTCATCTGCAGTAAAGGTCTGAGTTCCAACATGGAGACTGCCAAACTTCTCGAGATAAGGCCAATACTTGCAAGCAATATCTGTGCAATAGAACTGCCCGTTTGTGGCTGCTTGGAGATCCTTCTGCAGGTACAGCGGATAAGCAAATATTCCCCCCCTGTACATGTTAAGAGCCTTGAGTAGCACTCCGTGTCTGCAAACAACCACCTCAAGGCCCTCTTCATCCAGTTTGCTTGCTTTTCTGGCTGTTTCACGTGCAGCAGACCACTGACTGGCTCCACAGATCCCTTTGCCGGCAGTCTGCATGACAAAATAATTCTGGTTAAAACTGAAAGTTGCTTTTTGTTCTAGTTACTTCATCCATCAGGATGAGTCAGATTACATCACACCAACTGGCATCTTTGTAATGATCAGTGATAATAAAAGGTTTACTTTCAAACTACTACTAAGGAGGAGCTTCAGAAAATGCATCTTCCACTTTCTTTAGAGTGACAAACTGCATGCATAGTCACTATCTCTTACAGAGATCTGCTATTACATAATGAGTGAGCTGCTAAACTAGCCATTTTGAATGCCACCACACATACCATGTTTAATTTCAAACCTCAACACAAGATTGCTTAAAAGAGTGCAGCATGCTAGGGATACAATATCTATTTAATAAAGCAACAATCATACATTTCAAATTTTGGATTTAAATCATAGGAGCAAAAACTAACACTTTTCATTTTACTCCTGATCTCATCAACAAAATGGTGTACGTCAGTGTCCTTGGCAATGAAGGTGCCATCAAAATAGGGTTCCTCTGACCTTAATAGAATAAGAAAAAATATATATTTAGTGCAAGACATTATATGTTCTGTTAATTTTACATTAAATAAAATGATTACAAGTTTAAAACAACGAACCCTTTTGACTGCCGAAATCGGTACACTTTTCTGTTGCCGTCTGCACAAAGAGCGAGCATGTTAGGTGTACAAGCCGGGCAGGTGAAGTGCTCTACACTGGCCATTTCTTCACACTGGTACTGGCAGAATGTGTATTCCATGAAGCTTCTTTGAAAGACGTCTCCATGTATTTTCCCAGCCTGTACATGCGATTAGTGAAGAAGAGTAAAATGAAATAGCTACACTAATATTCTCTACCATCTCAACTTTGATCCACACTGATCTTACCCTTCCAAACAGACAAGTCCTTCTCTCCAACATCCGCAAAAAACCTTGTCTCGATAATCCTGGTGCAACAGTTTTCATTTCTTCAAATGTACTGAAGACATCGACTGAAAAAAAGCGTGTCTGCATTCACAGATGCTGGCCAGTACCCACTTCTTATTAGGTCGCTCATGTCAGGTGTCCAATGAGCCAGACATAATCTACACAACAAGCTTGGCAAGTGCAAGTCATACCGACCTAAAATAAAAAAGTAGAACATTCTAACACACGAAGGGACAAGAATTCTTTTTAAATATAAAACCATAGTTCCTACCATTTATGCAAACCAAAATGATTGCTCTGCCAGCTGATTCTGTGAAATTTGAAGGGTCGCAAGTGCATAACTGGACAGGTCTCACTGTAGGTAATAAACATACTGAAAAGAGAAGAGAAATAATTTGAGCGAAGCATTAAAAATATGTACAATTAACATAATAAAAGTTTAAAAAATAATAATAATAATAATAATAAAAAAACACTTTACCAAAAAGGTTCAAAACACTACCTTGATTGACCAGTGTATATTTGCCATCTTTTTTTACACAGCACACTGTTGGCTCAATGGGCTTGTAAATTCCCTCAATGCAGGACTCCCTGTTATGGAGGGTGAGTTTTTTGTGTATGTGCGTGTCACAATCCATACACAGCCACTCTTGTGGCATGCAGTCTCTGCAGCGAATGACGGCAGGAGACGTGCAGTGGCTGCAGTTCTTTTCTGGAGCCACATTGCAGAACAGCAAACAGTTGATATGAAAAGACCTTGCTTTCCTCCACTCGTCTTGGGCTACAGATTGGCGCAAGCACCATGATGTGGATGTTGAAGGGGACTTGTTGGTGCCTTGAACGTCTGCTGAGGTCAGAACATCCTGCAGTTTCTGCATCTCAATGTCTAAAATACAAAATTAAGAAAATAATAATTCCTTTCACGCTTATTGCTAAATTGCTTAATTACAGTAAGGTCAGGTGTCATCTTACCAAATAAGTGTTGAGAGCAGTTTGATTGTGTAACTGTGGGGACCTCCTCAGATGACTCAAAAGGTGTCACGTCCTCACTGCCAACCACAGAAACAACTGAAAAGATAGATAGGAAGGAAAGAAGGAAAGAGATAATGTTCATGTCTTACAAGCATACAATACAGTGTTCATTTAGTGACTTAAGGCTATAATCGGTTGATTGATATGTCTGACACTTCCTTTAAACTCTAAACGTTTTTTTGAAAAAACTTGTTAGCAGCATGAACCGGACACTGCTGCTTCACTTCTACTTATTTTTTTTTTGGAATTGCTAAGCATTGCAGTTAAATCCATAACATAAGTAACACATCCACCATGTGGTGTTTCTGATGGCACAGTTAAACATTCAGTATTTAAAGGAAAATTATTAAAATCCAGAAACAGAAATCCTATTAACCTAACAAACCTACCAAACAAACAGCAAGCTGAATTCTGTATACAATGGCCACAATTATATTTACTAATCACAAATAATCTTGGAAGGCATGGACTACCTGTAGCTGAAGCACGTTTTCGTGTCTCTCCACTTCTGCTTCTTTTTAGCAGTGGACGTCCTTTAGCATCTCTCTCCACCCATCGGACATTGCATTTATTACCTTTAGCAGATGTTGCTTTGTCCTTCGCTTGCTTTGCCTTGAATGACAGAAAGTGAGCAGTTTATTATAAAACTGAAATACAGCCAAATCTTGAGCAGTTCATTCAAATTTTGCACTCTAATTCCCACTCCTTATTGGGAATTAGAGTGCAATTGTCCAATTGTCCAATAACCAATTGTCTCAAAAAATACTCACTTTGGTTTGAGCAAGGAACATGTCTGCAAGGAAAATAGCATCATCTGCTCTCCCTCTGTTTTGCTGAGCAGCCATTTCAAAGATACTATACTGGAAAGGAAGATAAAAACACAGTCAGATAAAAAGTATTAAGGATGTATAGTATAGGGTTGCTATAGGCTATATAAAAACTAAATAAAAAAATGTTTTGAGACAGTGAAGAGAGAGAGTAAGGTGAAATAAAAATAAATAATAGAGTAACAATACTTACTTGAAGACAGTGACGCTTCAGAAAAGAGATAGAGATCGAGAGAGAGCGAGAGAGAGAGCGAGAGAGAGAGAGAGAGAGAAAGAAAGATGTGTGTGTGTGTGTGTGTGTGTGTGAGAGAGAGTGATAGAGAGAGAGAGAGAGAGAGAGAGAGAGAGAGAGAGAGACTGACAGTGAGAGAGATAGAGGAGTGGCTCTTAAAAGAGCCGTTGGTTTCTTATAAAATTAGACAGGTGGAGGTAAGGATGGTGGGTACAAACAGGAGCTGTTGGACAAAGGAAAACGAAAACATAGTTATTTTGCAGCAAAGATTCCACGATTTGTCATACTATACATATAACTGCAACAAAACAAAGAAGATAACTTTGATGCTGCTGTTATTGCATATTCATCATGCAAACTGCATTCATGTACAGAAGCAGTGTGTCGTAATAAATGAGATTTAAAAAAGATTTTGTTATTTGTCCTCTCGATGCGCCTGTAAATAGTTGTGTGTATGGTTATTGTTTTAGTGTTGTACCCCCAATTTTGCCCATTTTCTTCTGAAAGATTTATTTACATCAATTACAGAACATAATATGAACTTTATCGATCAATAAAAAAAAATGTAATGGCACAAACTAGAATAATTATAGTAAATTTTACATGTGGGGTCGGTAAGATGTTTAATGTTAAAAGAAGTATAATATGCTTACGACAGCTTAATTTATTTGATCAAAAATACAGTAAATCTTTATAAAAACTAAAATTGTGAAATATTATTTAAAACAGGTGATCTGTTTTCTATTTAAATATGTTAAAATGTAATTTATTCCAGAGATCAAAGTTGAATTTTCAGCATCATAATTATTAGAACAGCTTATATGATATACATACATACATATATATATATATATATATTATATATATATATATATATATATAAACACACACACACACGTGTGTGTGTGTGTGTGTGTGTGTGTGTGTGTGTGTAACAATGTAAAAGCATTTACGATCACGTATAATCGATTTATTGCATCATTTCTGAATAAAATAAATTCGTTCAAAATCGAAAAAATTACTGGTTTATGTGAGGATCTGATTGCCCCCTGCTGGTGTTCAACCTTCATTCCTGCGTGTCATGTTCACGGCTTGAGGAGGCAAAGCGTGAACATAACACGCATCCGCTAGTGGACCAGCGTGTGTATTACACATTTTAGCGTGATACCGGGTTGTTCCATATGGTCTCAGTTAGTTACTTTACAGAAACTCGTCCAGCTCATCCAGGTCTGGGGCACTTGGGTGAATCTCTGCGTTGACACATCCAATATCAACTCCTGATGGTCTCACTGATACATTGATCATTTGTTTGGCATCTGTACTGGCCAGCATTGATCTGAGGAAAGGCACAACACAACAAAACAACAGAAAGAAAACACCAGCTGATGCTGCTAATATTATTCGCACCTGAATGAGCCAGTCTTTCCAGGATGCAAATATTGAGTCAAGCCAATACCCAAAGCTCCTGTCTCTCCCCGCATTGGTAGCAACTTCCGGTCTTAATTCTTTTATCTTCTTCATGTCCCTAGTAAATGGTCCATCCGGGGCTGTGCCCGCTTAGGAATAAATGTACAACAGTCAGTTTCAAACATTACGCACACACTTCCGTTTTCTGCCAGGAGCCAATTCAGAGCTTGTCTGTTCTGCCAGGTCATTTTGCTTGTGTCTTTTAGTTGTTCTCCTAGAGCTTCGAGTGCTTCATCCGTGTAATTAATAAATCTCTGCTGGTTGTAATATATGTAATTAATCCATTCCATATTCTTATTTGGCTTTATCTATACAAATATTAATTCAAGTCCTGCTGCTGCCTCGTCTCTAGCATATGGTCTCCATCTTGGCTGTAACAATCCATCACTAGATGGTTGAAAGATCCTTCTGGAATAGAGCCTATTGGGGTTGCTGTTCCTTTTCTGACATTATTTCACATTCATTAAAAAATTAATCTACCCTTGTCTGTAAGTATGGGGACCAAAATCCCTGTCTTTTTATCTTTCTCAACATTTCCCCCTTGCACAGTGATCAAAACTGTCTGTGCGCATCAAGAATCAGGATGTTTAGTAGTGGTAATGGAGCTATCATAAGTCCTTCCATGGCAATCAAATCTAACACCAATTCTGACGTTGTTTTTGCATTTGGCTATCATCAATCTTCTATTGAAATCATCTATCATCAAATTTCTTTCTTTTTTTCTCTTTTTATATTTTTACTCACTTCCCCCCTTTGTGCGATGGTCAAAAAACCACGCACATCTTAAATTAAAAAGGTTTGCCAGTGTAATTATTTTAATTCCTTTAATACCTCATTTGTCCAATCTAAAGTTGAGGGTGTTGCTGCCTTCTGGACTTATCTGATATAGACTTAATTTTATATTCAATTATCTATCCTAAATTTCAAGGTACGAATATCACTAATACAAAATTGTTAATACAACTCTGATGACAAAAGCTACTGAATATTGTGGTGTAGCATTCCCCATGTGACAATGTCCACGTCTGTGAACAACACAGCTGGCCGACATCAGTTGCCATTTGATTGTGTTAAACACCTCTGTCATAAACCTCACTTTTTTAATATATAATATAACAAATTATCTGGTAGGTCTTGACTGTTTAAAAGACCGATTATCAGTTTATCTAATCTAATTTGTCATTCATCTGTTCATTTAATTTCTCCTCATAATCTTTTAAATTACTTTAGATCTCATCATAATCTCAAATTCATGACCCACAATATCAACATCGTACAATCCCCGGTAATATCAAAATTTGTGATATCACGTGTTTATAATTTGTGTAGTAACTATTTTACTTCTCAAAAATGACTATTGACCAAGATAGAGTGACCAGCATCATAGCTCTATCATCCACATTTTTGTTGTTTGACACATTTTGTCCCCCCTTTTTTAATACAGAACTTATACCAGCTACATTGAAAGCATAGCCCAAACATTCTCTGTTTAATAAACAAAATCTTAAATAATCTAATTATGCATTTACTCTTGTTGTTATTATTATTAATCCAATATTCGCTCACTCTGCTAAGTCCAGTCTCGGCTTTAATTAATTATTTAGTCATGCAAGCACTTGACTTCTTTTCTTTTAATTATATTATTAGCATTATTAAATGCTTACAGCTGGACTGATGTCTATGGAAAGAAAGCAAATAGAGTGTTAGCCTAACAGAACATAAAGAACTGCTGCTGGACCAGTGTATAACCAAAATACAACTAATATGGCCAATCAATGAAATTATAAGCGGTCTCTGTTGTGATCATTTAAGACGTATCCCTGTGCCTGCTTAAGAAAGGATGAAGTTCTTCTGCTTGGATCAGTTGAACTGGTTGGGCTGCTGTCACGTTTCTCTCCTCATCCGATGCATTTGATCTGTCAGTCCTCATTCAAGGGTCTGGCGTCATGTTCTGACACAGTGGTTGGACAGGATGCTGTAGTCTCTCTGCCTCTGCTCAGCCTGGCTTTTGGCCAAGCAACGGAGGAGGCACATTTGAAGAATGGGAGGATGTTTTTTCTTGGTTGTTTCTGCATCAACACAGTCTTTGTCTATACCAGCTCCTCAGAAGTTTCAACTTCATATTTTCAGGGAGGATGAAGGCCCACCAACCAAATGCCTCTTCTTTTCTCTGCAGCCGTGTCTTTATGTTTCTTGCTCTCACTTGTTGCACAGTCTAGTTGCTGTTGTTCATGTCGAGGCAGATGCCCCAAAAGCTGGCTGGTCTCATCTGGAAAATGAACACACAGAGATCCGCATTAATTAAATTCATACTTTATAAATTCTTCAACCATCTCTTTCAATTGTCCCTTAATTTCAGAAATCTCATCTGGTTGATAACGGCAGTTTCCCCATGCGGTTTTAATAAAGCAAGTTCTTCTTTGCAGAAAAGAGCAAGCATGTTCTTCTTTGCAGAATGCAGAAAATAGCAGCCTATCAGTCCGTCTGAGTTGCCTTATTTTCAGTCACATATATAGCATTTTTATCACTTGCTATTTCGATCCCTACTCCCTCAAGCACTTTAGGATTAAATTAATTACTCTCATTACTGTAAAATTCATATAATCAAATACAGTATATGTCTGTTAAAAGTGTCTGTTAAGCTTGGTCACCCAATCCTGCTCATTCAACACAATCAATGTATTATTTAAAATAACGCAATTCAAAAATCTATATTTCTACAATATATCAATTTTCAAACTGTCTCCCAGGGATAACAAGATACAAACATCATAGGCCATGACTTTATACAGTATAACAGGTCAATCATACTCACATCTTGCATGTCTCTCTCTTTTTCTGTATATACTTTATATATCTCCAAATGTCAGATATTTCTATAATCCTTTTTGTCACTTATTCTTTTGGGAACTGCACAAATCACTAATACAAAGTAGAACACTCCAGTATTTTTGATGGCCACCAGTTTTTCACAATCCACCATATCAATCCCTGTTAGGCCTGCTTATTAATTTCAATTTCCCTATAGACCGGTCAACTAACATTTATTCAATTTTAGTAGTTTCTTTCACGTTAATTTCTTACCAATTATTTTATTGTGTTTTTTCTCTGTAATTCTGAAACTAGCCTATTTTTAATTCTGACTGTATTAGCAGAATTCACCAATCCTATTTCATCTCTTTGTAAACTGTTTTTGAACACTTGACTGTTGCCACAATTGATACAATTAAATTCATAAAACCCAATTAGGCCAATTGAAAATGTATGTGACCAATCATTAGAAATTTTGCAAATTTTTGAGTTAACCTTTGATTGTCTGTCTTTTGCTTTCAGAAATACATCTTTGTCAGCTCTTTTCTCGGGCTTCCCTTTCTTTATCCATTCATCAGTCCCTGTGTCTTACTCTAAATCCTTCATTATATTTGCCAAACTTTCATTGGATGTCTCTCTTCTCTTTAGGCTTTCTTCATATGACCTTGGTGTTGCAAAACTAATATTTTGATCCTGGTATCTCTACAGTTGATTAACCATTAATCTTAA